CCCCAAAACCCCAAAACCCCAAAACCCCAAAACCCCGAACTTTTAATGGAAGATTGAAAATTTAGTTATTCATGATCAGGATGAAAATAGGGTTTTAATGTATAGAGCTGAAAATAAGAAATTATAAAGATGTCATGAAGAAAAGCAATCATAGGATAAAGCTTTTAAATAAGCAATAAAATAGAAAATCACATAAAAACTCAATTTCATCAATTTCTATATTTTTGAAACCTTGAGGAAGTAACAATCTGAAGCATGTACTTTAAGCCTTAGAATATATATCCTAGCTCAACGATCAGCCCCAGCTCTAACAAACAATTGCTCCATTTGCTTCTTTATTAAAAATACTTTTGATATTAAATTTTCTTATTAAAATGCCACCAAGAAATTAACCCAAAACCTTCGGATTTATGGTTTGAAATGAGATTTCTACTTTTATCAAAAGTTTAAACGACCTATTCCTGATATAGATTTTATCTATAGAAATCAATCTTTGTTGATGTTTTAGAAGCGTCGTCATTCACCGTAAGTGTATTAAACTTAGGTGCCACTGGAGTTGTACTAGGCTTCAGCCCTCTCAAGTTCTTATTCCTTGAGAAACCTTGTGTCCTACAGAAAGATAGTTAAAAATATGCTTACTTATTCATATCATATCGATGATCTTTGGTACAGGAGCCACTACTCTTTCTGATGAAATCTGTCCTCAACTTTCTCATTGGTTTGACTGTATATGCATAGTGTGTTCCCCAGTAAGAATGGATAAAATCAGGGTAATTCTGCCTTTTAGAAACCTTAGTCTTGGACCTCTTGTATTTCTTTATAGAAACATTATATGGCCATTTATCAACCTTCTCATTACTCCTGAGGCTAGAAAGCCACACAGATCTCCCATATTGCGTCTGATTTGGATCCTGAATCTCAGGAATTTCTCTGTTTATTTTACTTTTCCCTGTAAACATTGGAAGCATGGATTAAAGAAACTCCTGTTTGAGGTCTGCTGACTTTAGTCTGCACAAAACTGGAGAACTTATCCCAATCCTGTTCCATTTTAGCATGTTTATTTAAGCTTTCTTTCTTCAGATCTGCTTCTAATATCCCTTATCCTGCACAGATGCTTGCTCATAAGGAGGGATTTTACAGTAATTGGCCGTATACTTTCATTCTTTTCCTTAGTAGAGGTATTTGTTCTATTCATCTCCTCAAGAACATTTCTTCCCCTTACTAAGTCTTTCAAATACAGTTTAAGATCTTGGTCACTATGATTTTGATTGTTTTTCTTAAATTCCTGTATCTTTTTCTTGACTGAAGGGGAATTCAGGAGCTCTTGTGTATCACCCATTGGAGAATCAGCAAAGGTTGCCTTATTTTGGACTGACTATGTTTTCTTCTATCTTCACTGCTTCTGGAGGGGTTCTACATTATTGATAACTAATGGGCTTACTTGTTGAAATATTTATACAAAAATTTGTTAGTATCTCCAAGAATAAATCTTCCTTTGATGTTTCCCTTTTGGTCCTTGAGGTAGCTCTGACCGTTATCAGAAGTTTTGATTTCCATACTAGTTAAATTTATTTTCAATTATTAAATCAACACAGGGGTTTTGGGGTTTTGGGGTTTTGGGGTTTTGGGGTTTTGGGGTTTTGGGGTTTTGGGG